AGCTCCACAGCGTGTTTTATCGTCATGAAGCTCTTTGTTTTTTGTTTGTCTGGCCTGCAATGTTACTCTTTTTGGTACAGTCTCAACACTGCCAAACTGTCTTCAGCACAATCCAGCATCCAACAGCAAACAGATAAATCTAGCTGGAGAACACAGAGAGAATTTAGCAGCTGGAGAGTCAGATTTTTGCATGTTGTTGGTAGAGACCAAAAACAGAGCTATTAGGGTGTAAATATTGGGCTTACATTCACCAAGTGGTCACAAACATGACTCCAGATGAAGATGATGTTTCTCTATATGTGCTGAATGTGTAAATAGGCAACTGTATTTTAACAAGTTCACTATAGCATCTTTATAAGGTGATATTATGTCAACGTGTTTACGGCTTGTATCTGCCTCCCCAACTATTGGCCAAAAGATTTGTCATTGCATATACACATACTGGAATTGGCCTCAATATTACTTTACCAATTTACCAAAAGAAAAAAAGCACAAAGTTCATTGGTTTCAGTGGTAGCTACATATGCATGTGTATGTGTGTGCTCAAGAGAAATAAATAAGGAGAATGAGAAGTTTCCACCTTTTTCACTGTGTCCAATTTGGCCCCATCTGTATCCCATCCAACTCAGACATTAAGCTCCAGTTTAGCAGAGCAGCTGAGCAGAGATATAAACTGTATGTATTCCTCAGAGTGCGATCAATTAAATATACTGACAGTACATGATATGGATTTTTACCCCTCTAATTTGCTCATTAAAGAGAATCTACTCCTCAGTCCTATCTCGGTCATGTCCAAGGGGACTGGGCTAAGAATACATGGAGAGTAGAAACAATCCTTCCTGCACCCAATACCCTGCTGTGCGTAACATGCTCTCAACAGCTGGTCAGTCCTTCACTCCACAGCACACCAGTTTGCCACTCTCTGGCACATTCCCACAATAATCAAAACGTGACAGAGCCGACTGTGGAGGCACAGGGGCTGTGGGGCAGAGCAACAGATGGGAGACGTCTTCTCTGGAGTCACAGCCCTGATCCTTTTTAGCCTCATGAAATCACACACTGATCTCACTGGGACTAATTCAATTTCAGGTCTGTGAGTCCTATCTATGTTGGTGTGTCTGTGGAACAAGCTGCAGACCCTGCTGCAGTCAAACGACTCTGATGAGATCTGCAGGCACAATCCCATTAGAAATAAGAGATCTTTGTCTGGAGTTCTGCGGTGGCCCCAATCCAAGCCTGCCTCAGTGTGTGTGTGTGTGTGTGTGTGTGTGTGTGTGTGTGTGTGTGTGTGTGTGTGTGTGTGTGTGTGTGTGAGGGAAAGCGTCCCAATTCCTGTGCAGAGAGAGTGTGACCTATTCACTTGGTATTAGTGAACATTACTCAGGGTGATGATTCAACATTCCTGTCGGATGTTTTGGCTGGCACAGCACTTGGACCAGTCACTTCAGACATTCATTTAACACACAGGCTGAGCTGTCACACATCAGCTTCTACGTTATATCTGACACACACACACACACACACACACACACACACACACACACACACACACACACACACACACTCATAGTAATGGAATAAATTCTGTGTCCGTCCATAAATAACGTATGGTTATGCCTTTTCTCACTTTACATTAATTTGACACCATTTAATATAATATAGACACTGGATTTCATATAAGAAAGGATTTCTGACATTTTTAAAGTGGAAAAGGTGGACCAATAGTGGGAGAGGTGGGGTTTTACCGCAGCCACGTCCCTTCACATGACAGACATGTGAGGCTTTCATTATAGCTTGAGTTTCTACCTTAAATGTTCAGTGTGTGTGTGTGTGTGTGTGTGTCTGACAACCAAATATGGAGAATAATTTTCTCCTCTCCAATGTCCTGCTCTAGATCTGAAAATAAAAAAGTTAAAGGAGAAAACTTGTGTCCTCATCTCTAAATATCCACCTGAACTAAAAGGTAAGCTTTTTGCAAAAGGTTAAGAAGTTAAACAAAAATGACTCACAGGGTAGGCGTTTGTTGTGAAGGTTGGCTGATGAAGAGCTCATGCTGCTGCTGGAGAGTCGTAGATAATCAATTAGAGATGATGAGTGTGTGATGGCCGGTCAGCCTTGTGAGAGTTCAGCAGAGGGTCTCCCGATCATCTCCCACCTCTTCTGCTCTGAAGTGACTGATGCTGACTGCCACACCGTTGCTCTCCTGCCCCACTTCCCTCTTTTTCCCCTCAGTGGATTCTGAGCCACTTGGCTGAGGCGAGAACAAGTTTGTGGCTTTGTGGAGCCGACCAGCTGACCAATGACAGGGAGGAGGGAGGAGCTGAGGGAGACCGGGGAAGGGATTGAGAAGAGGGAAGGAGGGATTTTTATGTAACAGAGTGGAAAATACCAAGGAGAGACAGACACATGCCTTTGTTATTTTTGTCTTCTTACATCCCCTCCCTCGCCCTCCCTTCCTCCCCTTCTGTCTCTTGTTCCCTGTCTCCCTTTTTTGTTGCAGATTTAAACCCTCTCTCTTCTGTGTCACCTTCAGGGTCAAGTGATCAAATCAAATATCACATGAACAGGCAACAAATATCCCATATAACAGTTTTAATAATAAGTTTAATGATATTTATGTCCCTGAACAGTTTAAATGCCATTTCAGTTTTCCTCCTCACAAAGAACATTTTGTTCTTACAGATTATTACATTCTGAATAATGTTTAATGTTACTATTCAATCTGAACACAACGTGCAACTAGATGAATAAAAATTCAAAATAAATTTACCATCCAAATATTAATAGCAACGTTTGCTGTACAAGCTGTTAGGTGTCTTATTTGATGAATGTCCTACAGAACAAAATGAAGAAATATCCATTGATTTCACATTAAAGCTTAAACCACTATTGGTTAAACAAGCTGTATATATCTGCAACTACTTAGATAAAGCCTAATTATTTATGTAGTTTTTTGAGCAAAAATGCCAAATAGTCTCTGTTTCAAGCTTGATGCAGAAAGGATTTGCAGTTTTTATCTGTTTATATAAATATAAATTATGTATCATAAGCTTTCTTTAGGTTTCTGTGTTATTATTTATAGACATCACCTGAGGATGTGGGAAATTGTGATGGGCACATCGTTGTCTTCTGACATTTTACAGACCAAACTATTTATCCATTAGTTGAGAAATGATCACCAGATGAATCAGTTATGAAAAGAATCATATATTTAAATATGTGTTATAAATATGTCATGTTAGATTACTAATCATTGGCTTTAACAACCAATTGTTCGGGTGCTCTGGCGGCCTAGGGGTTTTTAATTCCATGTACAGCCGGGGACTTTGTTGCATGTCGTTCCCGATCTCTTTCTCTATCTCAGTTCCTGTCATTGACTCCCAAATACAGGCATAAAATACTAAAAACAACCAAAAACCTAATTTTGGCTGTTGAAACCTTCCCTCAAAAATCTTCATATTTCTTCAAACCATCATTTGGATGACTTACTTACATGGGAAAGAGTCAGGAAATGAAGACAGGTCAATATCTGACAATCTGTGTGTCAGGGACACCATCTAGTGGACAACAGACAACACTTCCACTTCCTCTAAACTGAACTTGCTGATTGCACAATATTTGCATGCATAGCCTTCACAAAGCACCATTACATCATCGCCATTTTCCAAAACACTGCATCTGCATTTGCGAGAGACTTTTAAAGAGTGCCTTGCTTCAGCTGCAGGCAGAAGAGGTTGCTGGTGTGACTCATCTGTTTGTGAGAATAATCACAAAGTGAACAAACTTGTTGATCATCCACAAATTGACGAACAGATTTATTTTCCTTTAGAATAATTTAAAGTATCTTTATTTATAGAATGCTTTAATAAAAATATAGTTCTACACAGAAGACAACAAATAACCTTTATATGTTTATGTCTATAAGTGCACAAGCATGGAAACTTTCACTACTGAAACTCACACTTCTGTGTCTGTGCCAAGCTGAAAAGTGAAACTTCAAATACAGGCTGTAATGTAGCAGTTGGGAAGTGGTGGGAGTGACTGGCGATTTCTATCAATAAAAACACTCTTTGTAAATGTCAGTGGTAGTGGTGGTTTAGCTTATGTACTAGTTGTGGCAAAGACTGCAATGCAGCGTCTTACCATGCCATGAACTCTCCCCAGCCTGTGTGTGTGTGTGTGTGTGTGTGTGTGTGTGTTTGTGTGTGTGTGTGTGTGTGTGTGTGTGTGTGTGTGTGTGTGTGTGTGTGTGTGTGTGTGTGTGCATCAGAAGACAGAGAGAGAGAAAATACAGAGTGAGAGAGGGAGAGAGAGAGAGAGTGGGCAGAGGAAGCATGATGTGACTCAAAGTGAGAAATCCTCTTCACCTCAAACTAAATTCTGCGTGGGCTTTCTCATGACTGGGGGTTCACCTGCTGAGGCCCTGCAAAATCAATAGCTGCGACCTGGGCTGCTGTGCTGCTGAGGTAGCCGTGAAGTAAAAGCCAAGTCCTTTTTCTTGTGTTTTAAAATGAGATGAAAGAGGGAGGCAAGAAAGCAAGCACGAAGAAAAGTGAGGAAAAGTATATACAAAGCGAGCAGGCAGCAGGGCGTGGGTGAGGGTGAGGGGACATCGTTTATGCTGTCTGCACAACCATGAAAGGACCTTCTTTTTCTGCAGGGGATTGGCTTTAGTACTTAATGCTGACCTTTGAACACTTTGCTCAAAAGCAATTACTGGCCATTTCAAAGCATTCGCACGGTTTTGGTTCATTCAGGACGAAACATCATTATTAGTCCACATCTTCCCATTGAGGCGAGAAAAGCAGGAAGTGAGAAACAGCATGAAGAATGAACAACAAGCAAGGGCTATCTGCTATCAGATTGCAGCTGCGATTGCAAGATTTCTGTTTCTGCCTGTGTGTGAGCGCAGGCTAGTCTAAAGCAACGTTTTCCCGCCCTCACTACACCAGGCAAAGCGCCAAAGCCATCAGGCAGTCATACGCCTACCATCAGCTGAGGAGTTGCACAGCAGTCTCATTTCTAATTATACACCAAACAACAGAGAGCTACGGAGCGAGGGGAGAGAGTGGAATATGGAGAGAGGAAGAGGAGGGTGATTACAAATGGAAGAGAGGCTGAGAGTGCTACTCAGCAGCAAACACAGGGTGAACAAGTTCAGATGTGAGAGATTGAGAGAGAGGAAGAGAGAGAGAGAGAGAGAGAGACAGAGAGAGAAAGTAAGAGAGGGTGAGGGAGAGACATCAAATCTGTCTGAGAAAGGTTAACAGGACTGACTGACTAAGTAGAGTGGGAGTGTAAAATGTAAAAGCGAGTAGGAGGGAAGAGAGAAAGGAAGAGGAGAAGAGAAAAGGAGGAGAGCGTGTCTGACAGTCTGTTGAGCTTGTCTGGACGCTTCTGATCAGTCTGCTCTGTTTTGCCTTCACATCTGCAGCCTGGGAGGACGACTTGAAGCCAGACAGGTGTTTGTGTGTGTGTGTGTGTGTGTGTGTGTGTGTGTGTGTGTGTGTTTTTGTGTGTGTGTGTGTGTGTGTCCGTGTGTGTGTGGAGCGGCTGTGAACATGGATGGACATGCTTTGTGAAGACGGATGCACAGAGAGACGCTGGGATGGATGGATGGAGGAACATGTAAGTAAGTCTCCAACGTGAAGCTTCTCTGAAATGTGTCTTGATGTATGTAGCATGTTGCTATCTTTTACTTCACCAAGAGAGCCAGCTATGATACAGTGCATGCATAAGTCTAACTCTGAATTCATGTTTGAGGAACTCTTTGTGGTCTGTGGGATTAAGCACTGGTGGTTAAATTTGGTTGTATTGCACTACAGCTCCATAGATAGAAACATCAAGCTGACTATGTGCAATATTGCCACTACTGATATGCAAATAATCCTCAGTGCAGATTATCTTTATTGTGATGGCACCAAACACACTCAACACTGCTGGGTATACATTTCATTTCCGTAGATTAGCACCCTGTAGTGAATTGATCACCTCATATGGTTATTCAGCCTGGATAACATTACAGCACAGGCCTGTTTGGGTCATAATCTGATCGTACCTGTGTGTCCGTCACTGTGAGTAAGAAGCCCACACATCGAAGCCATTTGAATGAATTTACATTTACACTGCAGGCATTTAGCTGACAAATACTTATCTATTGATGTCTCACGGTATAATGCTGAGTGCTCACACTGGAATGTCAGTGTGAGGGTGTTGTCTGATCCCACACACACAAAATAGAGAAACAGCTCATATCAGAGACATGCCTGTCAGGCAGAGTGAAAGAGGTCCATTCAGCGGCGGTGCTCAGCTATGATGATGACATAATACAGGGCATTGAGATGAGCTTTGCATTGAAAGGCTGTAAAAGTCTTGCACTGCTCTTGACCTCCCTGCATCACTTTGTGTAAATAATGTGTCTGCAGAGTCTTTGAATAGGTGAGAAACTGTTGTGTATTTGTTTGTGTGTGTGTGTGTGTGTGTGTGTGTGTGTGTGTGTGTGTGTGTGTGTGTGTGTGTGTGTGAGAGTGTGTGTGACACCACAAAGTGTTTATATTTAGCCCCCCTCTGAACTGACTCTCTTCTGTGCATGTGCATGTAAGGAGGAGGATGGGGTTTCAGTAGTTTTTAGCGTTGGAGTTCACTTCGGTCCCATGAGAAAAATACAGGCACGCTGCAGTTGTGTGTCTAGCATCCTGCACCTATTTAGTCACAGAACACACACTCTTTCTTTTGTTGGAAATACCACCATGATTGAAAGATAATGTTAACCTCTTGATAAAATCTAACCTCTAACTTCTCACCCACCCCCAACCTTTTACTTTGCATTATCCTCACTATACACTCATTCCGTCATCAACCATACTGTGCAGTTCTTTGTTACCATAGTAACTTTTTTTTCAAAGGACTTGGTAGATGTCCATCAAACTAAACCCCATCAATATAGCAATTGGTGGTTTATGCCGTCATGTGAAGGCTGATGTTGAAGTTACTATTGATGTGTCAGGGGGATATTTACAGGCAATGATCTCACCGGGTGGTACATTCAGAGGGTAGGAGAAACATTCTGTCATTTATCAAGAAATCTTTGAAGTGAGAGGCCGTGAGAGGCAAAGAATGAAGACTCTCAATAGAAATTCTAATTATTTTCTTCAGGTTGACCCCTTGCTTGTGAGGACATAACGTGCACCAATATTTGTTTCCTCTACTTTTCAGATCGTGATGACCCTGGACTTAAGTATCTGCAGCGCTTGCCAAAAGAGTGGAGTCTGTGTCACATGATCACAACACCTCCTCAGCTTCTGCAGGAGGGCATGCAGTGCCAGTTTGAGCGACAGGCAGCGTGAGCCAATGAGCTTCACACCGAACCCGGCACTTGTCCCAGACAGGGACAGCCTCCCACTCAAAAAGAGGGACCAAAGACCAAGCTCTCCCCCACAGCAGCAGCAACAGCAGCAGCAACAGCAACAGCAACAGCAGCAGCAGCAGCAGCAGCAGTGTGATGCTGCGACATTCAAGGCGCCCTACCCTTACAAGAGCCACAGTGAGTTTAAGACAAAACACACAGGCCCCTTTCAGCCCGTACCGAAACGGGTTCCTGCACTGTACCAGCCATGGATGCAGACTAACACATCCACCAGATCCAAACCTCAGGTCCTCTCTGCGTTCAGAGAGCATCATGGCTGGGCCGAGTGGAGAGAGTTCAACCCCCTGCACCCTGGATGGGACTTTTATCACAACTATCAGCCCAACAGCCACCTGTCTGGAACACCTGCACTCCACCCACACCACCCACACCACCCCTCCAGATTTAGCCCTGTCTCCCTGGTCACTGAGGGTTTCCAAAGGGTGGGTGCAGGGTACGGCTGGGAGCAGCTCAAGACATTAAGGGACAAGAGTTTAAATACGGAGAGGCAGAGCAATGGGAGGAATAAAGGACCTTATGTGAGGAGAAGGGAAAGAAAAGTTGAGTATTTTCCCAGGGTTGAAAAAGCAAGTCTTCCATTGTTGAGCACATGCCTACCTCACTCTCTACATGAGGACTTTACAGCTCAACGTCCAACAAAGGGGGTCAAACAACATGTTTCTGGACGTTCCTTCATAAGAGTTTCCCCTGACGATAACTCAAGCAACACATACACCTCCATTAAGGAGGACACATCAAGATCTTCTACACTCGCCTGTTCTGAGCATGATCCTTCCTCTCCCAACCATTTTCCCTGGCTGCTTCCTCACTTTGTGGCAGGCTCTCTTATTGAGCTCAGAGACGGGCGGTTGAGGAGAGTGGAACACTTGCAGACGGAGGATTTCTTGCTGGGATCACTGGCCTGTCCGGACCTGCGCCTGAGCTGCTGCACAGTGCAGAGCATCACCGCTTCAGCTTCCTCCTCGTCCATCTCACGTCTCCTCATCCTGCTTCACGACCAGCAGTCCCAGGTAAAGGAAAAATTATTTTGGTTTATTTACAAGTAACTGCCATTATTGCTCTAATGTAGTTTATCTACCAAACATTGCATTCAGGTCATATGGCAGATGATCTTTGAACTTCATATTTCATCAGTTTTAAATACTTGTATGGGGATAGGACAAATTCACAAATTCATCCCTCTAGCAAGTATTGTCTGTGTAATCAAACCCTGCTACGTCTTATTCCACCGTGTCACAGAGTTCCATATCTGAAATATCCCCAAACTATTCAAATACCGTACATAAGTTAGCCTCATCGCTGCAATGAACGTGGGCACTCCCACATACTAGCACACAAAATGTGTTTAAAACCGCAGCAGAAAATAGTCAGTAAGTAAGTAAGTACTACTACTTATTTCTGTTTGAATAACGCTTAAAACAACAGTGCCCAGCTGCTTTTGTAAATAAAGCCGCCTTTTTAAAACTTAAACTATTGTGGCTGTAATCAATTGTGAGATTTATGTCTTCAGTAAATGAAAATGCTTGAGAATGACTGTCACACATACACACAGGGAATAGGAGAAGCATTATTGGTTTTTGGTCTTTTCATAGGTTTGATTAAAGAAAATATAGAATAAGTCCAAAACATATCCTTGTATACCCACTATGTGTAGAATTAGATCTGTTCTGACATCCCAGTCTTTGTATTTGAAAAAAATGAAAAACTGCATGCCATTTTCATTGGGATTGTTTAATTTTTCTACATACAAAAACTTGACTGGGCTTTGATTTCAAATATAATTAACAAAAAAGCTATTGATATTTAATTACTATGACAAGCCCTTAACCTAACTTCAGACTGGATCATTCATTTGTGGGTGGCATTGGTTTGGCATTAGGGATGGGAATTGATAAGATTTATTGATACAAATACCATTAGCGATTATGCTTATCAGCCCGATTCTTTGTCAATTGCCCTTATTGATTCCTGATCAGTTTTCTGTATGAAAAGTAGGAAAACACAGGTTCTAACGCTGAAGTTATAGTAGTTTGATTTAGTCATTATTTGGACTGTTTCTTCCTCTTGTTCTACTCCTTCTTGTTGCAAGTTTCGTACAGCATAGACAGATTATTAGCAGATAGGTTTAGCATTGTCCAACTGTCAGAAAAACATGCTGCCATTGATACAAATAAATTGATGGCAAATTGTGGCATACAATATGGAACCAGTACTCGATTCACATCCCTTTTTGGTATGTGGTAAAAAGACATCTACTGATATTCATCACTCAGTTAGTCAGGTATCTGATTAACTGTGCAAATAGCTGTGAGTACAAGCCTGCATTTATCAAAGGTCTCTATTGAAGCTATTGATTGCTTCAGTTTAGTACATGAAAAACACTTACAAACAAGTCTGAAATCATTAAACAAGTTTCTCTCACTATATTGCTGACAGGAATTCAGCACAAGTAGGACAACACCACCCCCTAGTGAACAAGTGTGTAGGCTGCATCACTGTGTCTAATCTTCCTGTGCATAATGTATCATCCTCCTCCAGGAGTTGGTGGATGTCTATGTGGAGTACCCGTTCTTTGTGCGCGGGAGGGGTTGGTCCTCCTGCAGCCCTCAGAGGACTGCCCATCTCTGTGGCCTGCAGTGCCGCCAGCTCCTTGTGGGGGACGTCTGCCTGGCTCTTACCCCTGTCTCAGCCCCCCAGCCTGCACCGTCAGCCACCCTGGAGCCAAAAACCTCCCCCAGGAAATCAGAAGGAGCGTGTGAGTCCCTGAAGGAAGCAAGACCCCAGGTTACCCCGGGGGCAGAGCAGCCAGCAGGGGGGCAGAAGAAGGAGGCAGAGGCGGTCCGGAGGAGGCACTATTCAGCCCCTGAGTTGAGAGGTCCAGGGACTAACTGCATGTAGTGAGGAGGTTCACTGTTTTATGGACAGGAAGCAAGTCAGTCTCTTTTAAGCTCTGCTATATTCAGCTAATATTTGCTGTCTTTCTACCTCCTGAATCGTATTTCTGTGCTTGACTGTGGTTTTTAATTGTATCTAAGGTGTAAAAGCTAAGGAGGACTGATAAGATAAACTCTCAGGATCCCCCAGAGGTAAACCTACAGAAGCATATTTGTCAAGAGTTGAGTTAAACATTTCATTTTCTGTGAGCATGAACAGAGTCTATCATAACACAGAATTCAGATCAGTCAATTTAATACGTTTTTGTGAGAATGTGGAGAACCAAAGCGTGCATCTATGTTTCCACAGGGAGCTGCTTCACTGACAATGAATTAAAGAAAGAATATTGTTTGGGTTTTTAAAGTCTTCTGATTATTTTTTGCAGCATTTCTGACAAAATTGTGCCCTTGTTCCCTGAAAAGCACACAAAAATACTCCCTCAGGTTCCTCACTGCTGATCAAATCATTTTAAGTTTATCTCTCTTGCATCTAATATTAAGTAAGACTTCTTAAAGCACATAAAGGATAGATTTACATCCAAATTTCTGCATATCCCCCATGCCAGAATCCTGATAAGTGAATTTTCAAATTGACATTCAACTTTTTTTCAGTAGGATTTAGTTTTTTCGCTTCTACCTCTGTTTTCTATTTAAGGTGACAGATACATATAGTGTGTGTTTTTAACAGTGTGGGCTGTGGTGTAATATGTTATGCTGGAAGCTCCTAGTTTCTCTGTGAATGTCAGTGAGAATGCTTTTATTGGCCTGGTTGTTGCAGTATATAGCTGCTTTTGTACCAATGCTCCTTTTTAAATGTCTGTCCCATTGTTAAGAGCTATTCAAAGTACTTCAAAAGCACAATCAGTGATCAGTGTACAGCGCCATATGTCTGGATATTATATACATTATACACTTGGACGAAAAATGAAATTGTTCAAAATTGAAATGTGGACCACTTAACTCTGATTTCACAGTTAGGGCAGACAAGGTGCTGTACACACTGATTGTGTCTTCAACCTGTGAAACAGTTTTCGCACTGTTAAATAAATATGTCATGTCTAAAATGGTCTGCATTTTGTTTCTCTAAACCCAATGAATCCCTCACAAACCATTATTTACTATAGCCATTTACAGCCAAAGGTGCTTTGAATGCCACTGTAAGGAACACTGTTGAGGTCAAACATAAAAAAAAAAAAACACCTGCTTCTTGTTGGATAGTTTCCATTTATTTGAGTACTTGACAAAATAAAATTACAGCTTCCCTTTGCCCACCTGCAGCTCTGGTCTGACACCAGAAGGCAGCTGCAGTTGGGGTGCACACCCCAATGTCCGCCTCATGAAGATGAATCACTGACATCTTGCACACTGTATGCCTGTCACAGGCCTGGTGATATATATCTGCACCAGGAAACTGGGCCCAACAGGCAGGACATTCAGTCTCGCACACTGTTATTAACAGTCTCGGCTGTCATTCTTCACTGAGCTCCTCTACATCAGCAGCACATTCAGGAGCTGCCAGATGTATTACACCTGACCTGGTTCAAATGACTTCCTGAACAACTAGTTCAACACCAGTGAAGTTGGTTTCTTCTCATTGGGACATAAGTTCATCCAGCTGTTCCAAAAGACAAGGTGCAGTGGTGCGACAGGAAGATGAAGATTTAAAATTTTATGAGCTGTGAAATCAGTTATCAAATGCACATTTCCACCCAAGTAATATTTTAGATTTTGATGCCTCTTAGTCACAAGAGAATGCAGATAGATATGTGTTAAACATTAGGGGAAATAGTTTTGACTTTCTGTTTCTAGCACTCAATATTTGGTCCTTTCAGAGAACTTTTAAAGAAACCCCTTTGTTCAACCTTTCTCTGTGACTAATAGTTCTAACTGTTTTGTGGTAGTGGTAAATGCTGCATGGGAGGCTCAGCTGCTGGTCATAACAACAGTACACCAGATTAAAGTCCTTTCTGTGGCAAGAGCTCCCTGGTGACCAGCCAGTCAATCATCTTGCCTCTGGTTCCTTTGCCTCAGCCTTTGTTAAACGTCCCTCCGGATTTGCAGAGCTCACAGGAGGGGGTACGAGCGGTCAGTGGCAGCCACAGGCTCTGACCACCATGTTGCGGTACTTCTTGAGGATGACGTTGGAGCTGTCATCAAAGTAGAGCACCGAGATGCCATGTAGCTGGGTGGGGGCACAGCAGGGCTTGGGCACCGTTTCCGGGTTGATAAAGTGCACCTGTGGGTAGAAGAAGCATAAATCAATCTTCACAGAAAGTGGAGGAGGTTGTAGTGAAAGTGCCTGTCATCAGGGACTGTTTGGGACTTACCAGAGTTTGCACAATAGCATGATTGGTGGCATTCATGTAGGAGTTGAGAGGGAAGGCGCATTCTCCCTCGCAGTAGTACGCAGCGTAGCCCTCTGGTGCTATGATCCAGTCCTGATCAGAATAAAACCACAGGAAGTATCAGTCAATTGTCACTTTTGAAAATCAAATAATATCAAAATGAGATCAAACTGAAAGTTCTGAAATATACCTGCCATCCCAAATCTCTGAAACTGACATACAGCTCATGCTTTTTACATCCCTCCTTAGAGATGCCAAGGTTATCTGAAATTGACAACATGCAAGTATGAGTACACACAAGTATCAAAATACAAAAATATTAAAGGCCAGTTGGTCAAAGTGATTAAAACCAGGACAAGAGTCTATGATGGTGAGACTGGAATGGTTCAGGCACCTGTTGCAGCCTCCACTGCCTTTAGTGCATCTTGGACGGTCCTCTGGGGTTTGGAGCGGTTGGACTGGCGCCCCTTGTGGCCGTGGGCAGAACGGACGCTGCGGAAACGCACCTCATTGGCTCTGAAGAAGGCAACCATGAAGGGCTGCTTGTCCTGAGGTCCACTGCCCGTCACCAGCCCCGCCAGTCGGGTGTTCTTCCTCTGGCCTGCGGAACGAGACGGGGTGAACAGAACTAATGAGTGAACCAACCACTAAAGAATGACAATAACACACATCTAAGTTTCTACTAAACAATCATTTGTTCATCCTAATACAACCACAACAACCACAGTCATTACATGAACTCTGTAAGAACCCTCTATACACATTTACTAAATATGTGGTTGTGCTTTTAACCATATGATTTAAAGAGCATTAAATCATTACTCTAAACAAAGACTGTATTCTTGCTGTTGTTGCTGTTATAAACCCCCCCATGTGAGTTAATGTATGGCAGTGACTGACCATGTCTGTCCTCCAGGACCAGGTGTAGGCCGAGGTTCTGCTCCGGGTTGACCAGCCAGAGGTTACTGGTAGCGGTCAGGTCAAAGGCCAGCCAGCCCTCCTCTGGAGCCCACACTTCACGCTGGTCCAGTAGCAAGAGCTCCACTTCACTGAGGAGAGGACAGAATGTAATTAAATTCAAGGCATCTCAAGGCTGAAAACATTGAGTGTGAAATACAAGTTAAATTAAACATAAATGGAGTATCCTTGCTTGGCTGCAGACTGAAATACTCATCAAATGTTCCTTGGATGTGCCATCAAGGACTAATTGCAAATGTGTTTCCATAAAATGAAAACACCAGTTTGATAAAATGCTACAATGGTGGTCCACTGTGATTTGTTACCCATCTCTTGTTTTTGAGTTTCTGCAAATTGATTTTCATTCCTGAAATTAATGAAAAGCAATGGCTCTCTGGAGTGTATGAAAACAGTCTAAGAGCATGTGGTATGCTTGTAAATTACATAAAATGAGTATTTAATTGGCAAAAAAATGCAAAACTAGATGTGTGGTCCTGCAACAGCTAGAGTGCAGTTAGAATGTATTAGGACAACTTGTTTTATAACGTTTTGGCCCAGTACACCTGCAGATTGGATTGGAAATGAATGAATGACTTTGAGGTTAAAGTGCTTAATTTCAGCCTTGTGTTTGAATGCGTTTACATCCATACTGGGGGCACAGTGTATCGTAACCCTTTTTATAGATATTCCCCCAATGGTGCAGGAAAATAATACATTAAAGGCAAGAGGTTTTATGGTCAAACAGTGGAATGTTGTTCATTAGCAGTCAGACACCTGACCTCAGTCAACAGAGAATGTGTTTCATTTGCTGAAGACCAGACTGAAGGTGAGCACCAAATGAGCACAATAATTAATATAGCTGCAGTGTGGATGTCTGTGGCTGCAAAGGAACCAAATACAAAACATGATAACATTAATTAAGTTTGTGTAAACTTGTCCAATTACGTTGTGTCACCTAAAGGGCCACAGTTCCCTTGTTGTTCATCTGATGTGGATATAAACAAGTTCAAATTAAAGCTGAGAGACAACTAATGGCCACTGTTTGTGCTAGAGTACAGAGCCAACACAGAAAATGTGTGACTGTCCTAATCATTTCTGACTGCACTGTAAACACACTGAATCTGGATGAATACCCGTGCAAATCAAAATAACAAACCATATCTTTCATAGTTAATTGATACAGAAGAATAAGAATACATAAGAATATGAACTCTTATATATAACTATAACAATAAATTATTATTAATAATTTCAGTCTTAAAACAACATGTAGTGACCTAAACATCCAGTCCCTGAATCATGTGTCCACCAAAACAAACAGTCACTATCAAAGGAGCACTTTCTTCATCCCAGAAGAAAACTCCTACACACATATCATGCCATCTTAAGGGCAGATTCCCAGACAATAGCCTTGTTTACAGATTGAGTTTTAGACCTTCGGGCAGACGTCTGCCTATAGTCCTGCCGCCTGCTTGTCTGTGTGGAGTGGCCTTTGTGTGTCTGTGAATGACAATGGTGTTGCGCTTAACACCATCCTCAGCCCCAATGTCACCGATGAAAGACTTAAATCTGCTGCCTGCACAAGATTCCTCCCGCTCACTTATGTCTCCCTGGCAGGCAGAGTCAAGCAAGTTAATGGGGTAGAGTGATTTTAGAAAGTGGGTGGTACAACTTTGATTTCTGAGAAAGAAGGGGGTGTGTTGAGTCTAATTATCTAATTTCAGATGTGGTTTGAAACAAGGAAACAGTGTGAGCGTAACACAGAAGCTGGCAGAGTGACAGACCAAACAGAGTTACAGACAGACAGAAACATGGAGGAATAACCACCTGTGTAAGAGAAAGAGAGTAAACTGACGTCTTTAGGGTTGTGTGTCATTTGTGGTTGGAGCTGCGTGTTATAAACGCAGGTCTCCCAGGGACCAGCCTGTTCTAACGGTGTGAGAATAAACTTGCTCTGGAGAGAACCACTGTGTTTCTGTAATTGATGCTAATGTCTGTGTAAACAGCTTTGGTGCTGACACTAACATCAGCAGAAATAACCTGTGGGGAAACGTAGACAGACACCGCCAAGGCAGACAGATCCATGTGCACATGCGGAAGACTAAAGACCAGTTTTCAGCAAAAAAACACACAGCAGCATAAGGTGTTTGTTTAAAATCAACCACACTAGTCGTACTCTGTCACTATCATAAGAGGATAATCATATGTAGCACTGAAACCTGCTACTATGAAGACCTGAAGAACCTTTGAAAAATGCTTTAAATTTAACTAACTAGCCATGCAGATGGGTTTGGTTTTATTCATCTGGTTTCTGAGAGAGTTAGATATACTTGGCCCAGTTACAACGGAGGTGAATGGAGTTTCATTGAAGTTGTTCACAGTACTCAAAAATTACATTTAAAATATTCACCAGCAACATGCCTTTGGAACTAGTTTCTATAAGAATTAGCCTGTATGAAAACTGCTTCCAATGCGTTGTGGGGAATTGGGATTATCCAGAGAAATGGGGACACTGTTTCTGAAAAGTCACATTGCTGTTGAATTTTTATCAACATTAGCAGCGTGGCTCTACGGATGGACATGTTGGTCCGTCAACCACTTTGGTGCAGATTAAAATATCTCAACTATTGGATGGATTGCTGTGAAATTTCCTGCAGACATTCATTGTGCCCTTTGGTGACATCTCTGACTTTAGCTATAGCACCATCAGCAGATTGACTTTTTTTGTTTTTTATGAATGAAATATCTCAACAAATATTAAA